TTAGAAGATATTGGCATTACTGTTGTAACAGAAGATGAGATTATTGAGGTTTATTTTGCTATGTGCCTTTTTACAGGAGATAATCTAGGTGCTAATAATATTTCGGTTTACGTAGAAAGTTTATCAGCAAATTATTATTGTCGCATATGCAAAGAGCATAAGAAAGTTATGCAAAATCAAACTATTTCAAATTCATCAATGCGTCGAAATATTGCAAATTATAATACTGATCTGATAATTGATAATAGTAGTGATACTGGTATTAAATCTGAGTGTGTTTTTAATGAATTAAAAAGTTTCCATGTTGCTGAAAATGTTCACGTAGATATTATGCACGACTTAGATGAGGGAGTGTGGAAACAGACAATGACTTGTATAATTAATACTTTGATACAAAGAAAAAGATTTGATATAGATACTTTAAATAATTTAATTCAAGGCTTTTATTATGATTCTTCTGAACAGCATAATAAACCTCCTCTCATAACTAAAGATCACAATCAACGAATTAGATTGGTCTTCTCAGCCAGTGAAATGCGATGTTTTACTCGTTATTTTGGCATGATGGTTGGTCATTTAATTTCCGACAATGACGCTGATATTTGGAAATTATATCAATTATTGATATCGTAACTGCACCTTTTATATCTATTACAATACTTCCATTATTAAAAGATCTTCTAAAACAACATCACTCACTCTATTTGAATTTGTTTGATAAAAATCTAACGCCTAAGTTGAAAATATATTCCTTGTAAATCTGTTTCATTCAACTGATAAAGTTTTTGGGAATGCAAATATTTTTCGTAAAGTTTTAAATGAATTGAAATATTAAGAAGATATTGGCATTACTGTTGTAACAGAAGATGAGATTATTCAGGTTTATTTTGCTATGTGCCTTTTTACAGAAGATAATCTAGGTGCTAATAATATTTCGGGTTACGTAGAAAGTTTCTCAGCAAATTATTATTGTCGCATATGCAAAGAGCATAAGAAAGTTATGCAAAAGCAAACTATTTCAAATTCATCAATGCGTCGAAATATTGCAAATTATAATACTGATCTGATAATTGATAATAGTAGTGATACTGGTATTAAATCTGAGTGTATTTTTAATGGATTAAAAAGTTTCCATGTTGTCTGTATTTTTTTATTTGTGTTATAATTGAATATTGTATTATAATAAAACATTAACCATAATATGTGTTATGGATAATATTGTATTATTATAATAAAACATTAACTAAATAATACCTGTGTTTTCACTCGTAAAAACCTTTACTTCATTGTATCATAAAAAAAAAGATCTTAAATCGAGAATGACATAAGATTCTTGATATTCTACAAATTCTTTTATCGCAAGAGTAGAATAAGATTTCCGTCAGACCGGTATATTCTTAAATCAAGAATATTATGAAATTGCTACAAATTTCCACCTACATCTTTGTGAGAAAATTAATGGGATAGCACCAAGAGCATTTTATTCTAGATCTAAGAATTTTCCATTTAAGATTAAAATATTCCTTTTTCAATAATAAATATGATTGTCGCTATATCGATCCTATTTTATGATAGATTGAAGAGTAATAGCATTAGATCCGGAAATCTTTTCTGTGGGTGCCTCGAATTTTTCAGTCGGTCATGGATACGATTTTAGGTAAAACGAAGGGAGTATGTTGTTATCTCGATGATTTGATTATAAACGATGGGAAAGATGAAGAAGAATGCGGGAAAAGACTTTATGCGGTTTTGCAAAAACTACAAGAATTTGAAACAAAAGTGAATAGGGATAAATGCGAGTTTTTCAAAGAAACAGTAGAGTACTTAGGTCATATAATAGACGATACAGGCATAAGATCAAAAAGCGATAACTTGGATGCTATTTTGAAGTGTAGTAGTCCAAAGGATGTGACACAATTAAAATCATATTTGGGTATGCTTAATTTTTATGGGAAATTTCTACCGAATCTCAGTACATAGCTCAGACCGTTGTATGCTCTTCTTCGAGCAAATGTGAATTACTCTTGGTCGGATGAGTGCGAGAAGGCGTTCGTAGAAAGCAAGGAAGCGTTGAAGCAAAACAAATTGTTAACATGTCTACATTACAACGTCAACTCTAGAATTTACATAGAATCCGACGCGAGTCAGCACGGGGTAGGCGCGGTATTATACCATATTATCGATGGCGACCAATACGTTTTGTATCCGCGACACTGACACAGGCCGAACAAAACTACAGCCAATTGGAGCGCGAAGCGCTGGGATTGATTTTCGCAGTAAAAAAATTCCATAAATACATTTACGGCAGAAAATTTGTTTTAATAACGGATAACGAGCCTTTAAAAAAGATTTTAGGGTCTAAAGCGGGTATTCCACCACTAGCTGCAAGTCGTTTACAGCGACGGGCAATTATTCTGAGCCAATATGATTACGACCTTCAATTGAAACCAGATTTAAGGTGCGCCGACATGCTTTCACGTTTACCTGGAAATGAAAATACCGAGGATGAAGTTTTACAGGTAAGAATAGAGGAGCTTGTCTCCAGTTTGGACATAGGGCGAGAAACTTTAAAGACCCTATTCTTAGCAAAGTTTTAGATTTAACAAAAAGAGGATGGCCCAATCATATGAACAATTAGGAATTGAAACCATTCTTTGCGAGGCGACAAGAATTGTCTGTAAGTGAGAATTGTGTATGTTTTGGGAATCGAATTGTAATCCCTCATAAACTGCGGGCTGAGGTTTTGCGTCTGTTACATGAGGGTCATGGTGCAAATGAAAATGTTGGCAAGATCACATGTTTTTTGGCCTAACATGAATCAGGATATTGAGGATGTACTAAAAATTTGTACCGTGTGTCAGCTTTTACAAAATGTGCCAAGATTAAAGGATCTGTTAAGCTGGAACAGTACGAGCCAAGTATGGGAAAGAGAGCATG